AAATTAACAAAGAAAAATACAAAATTGTTGTATTTTTCTTTAAAAAAAATTAACAAAGAAAAATATAAAATTGTTGTATTTTTCTTTAAAAAAAATTAACAAAGAAAAATACAAAATTGTTCCCTTAGGAAACCAACATCAAATGCAAAGATATGGGACAAGTAGTTCTTGGCTTAGAAATGTATTTACAAACAAAGTGTGCTGAAACTATAGTATGATGTAGCTGCCAAAAACAACCTCATGAAATTTTAGACTGCATTAATGGAAGTATAGTTTTCAAATCAAAGAAAGCAGTCATTTCATTTTATTCTGCCTTGGTCAGCTCCTATTTGAGTATTGAATACAGTTCTGGCCATCGTATTTCAACAACTCGCCAAAATTGGAACAGCCTCATAGGATCAGTATAGGACTAGAAACTAAGCCTTAGGAGGAGAGTTTGAAAGAGCTGAGTAAGCTTAGCTCTGAAAAAAATAAGACTGAGGAGGGATATGATAGCATTCTTCAACAGTGTCACATATAAGAAAATCAAGATCTGTTCTTACTTGTTTCAGAGTGCAGGGTACAAAATAATGTATTTAAGGTATAGGAAGGCAGATTTTAGTTGAATGGTAGAAAAAGGTTAACAGTAAGAGAGGTTTGACAATTACCCAGAGAGGTGATGGGCTTCCCTATCCTACTGTGTTCAAGTAGAAGCCACATAGATATTTGTCCCATCTGTCTGGGATACATTCATTTGGATCTATGCACTGAGCCACAGATTGGACTTAGTGACCTAACTGGCCCTAGTCTACAGTATGATTCTGTGAGTGCAAGATTGAATGAATTGATAGTATCTTGTATATATTTAATGCCTTGTGCTCAAAATATGGTAATCTGAACACATCTGGGAGATGCTAAAAAATCTGCTACATCCAGTTCACTTCAACTCTAAGATTTAATTCTAAGAAATATGTGACATGATCACTTTGCCCTCGGAGATTATTTCATTCATACCTAGAATAAAAGGAGATTGGGGACATGGAACTTTTCTTTTGATGTGCCCAAGAGGGGTCTTTCACAACCAGTAATCCACATGCATTTTCATAAATAATTTGCCACAAAATTTACCTGAATTTCACAAATCCAAAGTCTCTTGAGATAATATGAAAAACTGGCTGGGTTTTTTTCTTTTCAGCTTCTGCTGAATATAACTGCATAGGATTCAACAAACCTAGAAAGTTCAATGATGCAATATATTTCCATAGAATTGGCAAGTGGTATTTTCTATAAGATACAGGTAACTGAGCTGTAAGAATTCTGGAAGCAAAATTCCCAGTTGCTAATTGTTTTTTTGCCAAAATGTTACCATTTCTCATTGATCTGCATGACCCTGTTAAATTAAAACTTAGGCCTGTGCTTTGGATTTGGCTGAAGGTAGGCTGATCTGGACCAAATATATGGGTGTATGAAGTCAAACAGACTCCATATAAAATATATTGAAGAAAAATGGAGTCAACTGACTAATTCATGTATCTTCCAATCACAAGAAAGGAGAGCCAATTTGGTATAGAGGTTAACGCACCAGGTTAGAAACTGGGAGACTATGAGTTCTAGTTCTGCCTTAGGCATGAAACCAGCTAGGTGACTTTGGACTTCTCTCTCAGCCCTAGGAAGCCCTAGGAAGAAGGCAGTGGCAAACTGCTTCTAAAATCTTGCCAAGAAAACTTGCAAGGACTAGTCCAGGCAGTTGCCAGGAGACAACACTGACTCAAGGGCGCCCCCTCCCCCAAATTACAAGAAATAGTTTATCAG